AAAAAAAAGAAAAGTAGGCTGGAATCAGGGGGAGAAAGAAGAGGAGGATACAAATTATGCCAGAGAAAGTGGTTCCTAAAGATAGGTTCTTTCAAAAGACAGCAACCACAACAGATGGGAGAGGACACAGATGAACCCTCATTGTGATGGTGGGTTTTACTGATCCCTAAAATTTCACCTTGGAAAAGTGAAAAAGAGTAAAACTTGTTGTCTGTCACTCTTGTGCATCTTTCCAAGTGTCCCTTTACCTTAGTGATAATGGGTGGGATACCCCATAGTAAATGCTGCCTTTCCTTTCTCTACTATCACTGGTAACCATCAAAAACACTTTATGTAACACTTTCCTTGATTTCTCATAATAGTAGGCTTGTACAAGATCTGCCTTTTATGATTGACTTATTTCACTCAGCATAATGTCTTCCAGGTTCATCCATGATGCTGAATGGCTAAGGAAACATCTAGAGAAGAAAATAAACTCAGTTTCTCTGGGGATATGGAGGTATCCAACCATTTCCTTGAAGCAAAATCTAAAATCACCTATGATGTCCTGTTTTCTGAGAAGACTTCTAGAAGCTTCCTCTCTCTCAAGTAACATACCATAGTTTTACAATGTTATTTCTGTTCATCTCTGTGGAATAACTAGAACAACCAGGGAGAACAGAAGTACCTAGAAGCAGAAACAGAATGGGCAGGATGGATAGGAGGCACTGCTATCCACATGCAGTGATCTTGATTTTGGGAGACAGCTACCTAGCCAACAGACAGGAAGAGATCCATATGCCTGCCTATTCCAAAGAAAGAGGATTCAGAGGAATGTGAAAATCATCCAACAATAATAGTAATATAACATGCAAGGAAAATTATGATGAAGATAATTCAAAAATGGTTGCAGTAATATGTCAATGGACTCCTGGTGCGGCACTGTAGGATCAGAACTGGACTGCAAACCATAAAGTCAGCAGTTCAAACCCACCATCTGTCCCTTGGAAACCCTACATAGGGTCACTGTGAGTCAGAACCAACTCAACGACACTTAACAACAACAACAACAAGAGTATGTCAACAGGGAGCTGTAAGAACTTCAAGCCAAATTCAGAAGAGGGACATCATTGTAAATGTCAGATGAATCTTAGCTGAAAGCAGAACATACCAGAAAGATGTTTATCTGAATTTTATTGACTATGCAAAAGCATTCGACTGTGTGGATCCTAACAAATTATGGATAGCATTGTGGAGTCAAAATTCCAGAACAGTTCATTGTGCTCGTGTGGAATGTGTACATAGATCCATAGGTAGTCATTCAAACAAAAAACTGGAATAGTGAATGGTTTAAAATCAAGAAAGGTGTGTGTCAGGGTTGTATCCTTTCAGCATACTTATTTAATCTGTATGCTGAGCACATAATTGGAAAACTTCAGGATTTCAGTAAGACTGTTAACTACTTGTGATATGCAGATGGCACAACCTTGCTGGCTGTAAATGAAGAGGACCTGAAACACTTACTGATGTAGGTCAAAGATTAGAACCTTAAGTATGGATTATACCATAGCGGATAGAAAAAAAAAACAAAACGTCCTTACCACTGGACCAATAAGCAACATCATGATAACTGGAGAAAAGACTGAAGCTGTCAAGGATTTCATTTTTCTTGTATCCACAATCAACACCCATGGAAGCAGCAATTAAGAAATCAAATGACGTATATCACATTGGGCAGATTTGATGATGCAACAGACTTCCTTCCTTAAAGTGTCAAAAAGCAAGGATGTTGCTTTGAGGACTAAGATGGTGTCACGTTGTTTTCATTCACCTTACTGTTGTTGTTGTTAAGTGCATCAACTACTCTGACTCACAGTGACACCATACAGGGTTTCCAAGGAGTGATTAGTAAGTTTCAACTACCGACCTTGTGGTTCAAACCAACCTTGAGGTCCAGTGTTTTATTTTGTAGCGCCACACCTCATATGCATGTGAAAACTGGACAATGAAAACTGAAGAAGAATTGATGCATTTGAATTATGGTGTTAGAGAAAATTACTAAATATACCATGGACTGTCAGAAAAAATGCAATGTGTTTTGTAAGAAGTATAGCAAAATGCTCCGTAAAAGCAAGGATGGTGAGATTTCATCTTACTTAGTTTGGACATGTTATCAGGAGGAACCAGTTCCCGTAGGCCATCATGCTTAGAAAAGCAGAGGGTCAGCAAGAAAGAGAAGCCCCTCAAGGAGACCTAGTGACATAACAGCTGTAACAATGGGCTCGCACAGCAGTGATTGTGATGATGACAGAGGGACAGGAAGTGTTTCATTCTGGTGTACACAGGGTCGCTGTGAATCCGAGCCAACTCAACGGCACCTAACAATCACAACAGACAATAACTTTGCTATCTGTGGTCTGCACAGAGCATTGTCAGTTATTTGTGTTGCTTCTGGATAAGAAATATTCCCTCCAGCTCTAAAAGATGCCTTTAGACTCAATGAAAGTGCAAAAAGACATATACTTATGAAATTCCCATTCTTGTGATATATGGCTAGGGGAACTTCTATAACCTGCCTTCTTCCTTTTATACCAGTGAACGAAGAGGGTGTGTACTAGCAGAGACTCCAACTCTTTCCTGTTAACAAGGGCAAGAGGCAGACAGCGTGAAGTAAATGGGCAAGTCAACGCAATACAAGGATAATACAAGGAATATGAGGAAATTGTTTGCGTGCTGAATGCTTCAAAATGTACATATTGCCTCAATTTACACACTTTTTTTTTTCTAGCATAAACATAATTATTTCCACATGTATCATTCTCCACTTTCCATACGCCACATGTGGGGGATCGCCCCCCTTCTAGAGGTGATTTTAACTGTGTTTCAAATACATTTTTGTACTCCCAACCATCCTGGAGCTTTTAAATAATGCTTTCCAATAGAATACACATTTATTCAGTCATTATACAAATATCTCCCGAGTGCCTGTGCACATGCCAGGGCACTGTGTTAGGCACTAGATACAACAGTGGAAGCAGGAGACTACCAGTTGCTTCTGACTCATGACGACTCCATGAGTATCAGAGTGGAAGTATACTCCCTAGGACTTTCAATGCTGAAAAGTACACCTTCTCACTTATTGTTATCGACATTTTGCATTTACAACAACAGTAAAACATCTACTGTCTGATTATTTGCACATTAACAACGTACATCTGACAGAAAGGAAGGCTGAGGTGTGAGGCTAGAGTAACATCAGCTCTGATGGCTCAGGTTGCGTGTCGACTTGGCTAGACCATGATTCCCAGTGGTTTTTGGCAGTTACGTAACGATGTCGTTTTTCTTCATTTTGCAATCTGATGTGTGGTTAGCCTCCATTTTTACACAACTCTGATTTCACACAGTAACCTGGTCTTTGGAAGTTAACCATTTCAACAAATAAGAGGCCTTTCTTTTAAGGTATCTCCAGGTAGACTGGACCCTTCAACTTTAAGTTAATGGTGAAGCATTTTAACTGTGTGCACCATCCAGTAATTCCTCCTATTGAAGCTAGGGCACCAAAAAATGAATTCTGAATCCAGTCAGTTAGTGCATTTTGCTGTTGTTATGTGCCGTCAAGTCGGTTCCTACCATGTTGGTGTTGCTAAGTGCCATTGAGTCGATTCCAACCCATAGCGACCCTGTACAGGGTTTTCGAGGCTGTAAATATTTACGGGAACAGAAAGCCTCATCTTTCTCCCGCAGAACAGCTGGTAGTTTCGAACTACTGACCTTGCGGTTCGCAGCCCGATTTGTAACCACTATGCTACCAGAGCTCCTTTTGGATAGTGACCCTGTATACAGTTTCTGGCTTTAAATCTTTGCAGGAGTAGAAATTTTCATATTTTTCCCATGTAGAGTGTTGGACTTGAACCACCAACCTTGTGGTTCACAGTCCAGTGCTTATCATATGGAGCCACCATGCACTCTAGTCAGTAAATAGAAAATCCAATAGTTACAATCATAAAGAATTACAAGAAGTACAAAAAGTTTGATCTATCTGCTTGAAGAGTTGCATGGTTTATAGTACAAAGCAAACTAAAGCATTTGCATTTCATTTCAAGAGTCCTAGTGGACCCAGCAGCTATGTTGGGATTCAGAGTTAACATGACAGCCAGAAATTAATAATCTATGACCAGGATAAGGAAGGGCAGAATTCTAGGATCTTTACTTTCCCAGAATGCCATCCCTCTGCTCATCCATGGAGGATCCATGGATCCTCACTCTGGGATTTCTGAATCCAAGGAGATGAATACCAATAACTGCACCACAGTCAATTTAATAGTCAAGAAGGATCCCTGGCAGTGCAATAGTTAAGTACTTGGCTGCTAACTGAAAGGCAACAGTTCAAACCTACCTAGAAGCTCTGAGGCAGAAAGAGCTGGAAATTGGATCTAGAAAGTCCTATGAGACAGTTCTCCTTTGTTGGAATTAATATAATGGCACCTAACAAACGACAACAAGTCAGTAAGCCAAAGGATCTTACCAGGATAACTGGAGGAGACTGAAGGAAGTCTTTAAGGAACCCAACCAGATCAAACCTAGTATTTCATCACGTCAGAGTTCCCAGGGTGTGGTGTGTGAATCACTGGGGCCAAAATGTTAAATGGGTCACAGGTGACCTTTCACTGAGGCACTTAGCTGTGGAGAAAGACAGTGCTACACAGAGTGACAGCAATAGGGAAACAATGGCCTGGGCCCTCCCCCAGCACTCAGAGGAGGTCCTGGAAGAAGCCCCTGCATTCTTTATGAGCTTTGTTGTTGTTATTAAGTGCCGTCGAGTCGGTTTCGACCCATAGCGACCCTGAACAGGATTTCCAAGGCTGTAAATCTTTACGGGAGCAGATTGCCTCATCTTTCTCCCGCGGAGCAGCTGGTAGTTTCGAACTGCGGACCTTGCAGTTCGCAGCCCAATTCGTAACCACTACGCTACCAGAGCTTTGGTGGTGACCAAACAACTAAGATGCTAGTCATGGACTTACCAACACACGTTGGAAATATGTCCTCATTGTTGATCTGGACCTCGATCCAATCCATAAGGAGATTCATGTACTGGGGAGCTGGCAGTGCAGTTGGTTTCTTGTACTTGAGATCATCCTGCCACCGATACTCATATTTGGGACCCCCGGACATTACAGGGCAGGTCTGCTCGGTGCAGAACTCGCAGATAGTGCCGTAGATGAGGTTGATCCGATTGAAGAAGTCCACCACATGCACGGCCACCCAGTCATTCTGATCCTCCCCACTTGGCAGCTGCACTGCCGCCTTCAGGTCCACACCCGAATTGAGGGACGCCTGAGCCCGTTTGTGGAGTTCAAACCTCTGTGTGCCAGGTTCAAATTTCCTCTTGGGCCGGAAGGTCTTGTCCTTGTTGAACACCTGCTTCAGGGCTATGGACATGGTCTTCTCTTTCTCTTTTCTTTGACAGGAAGCAAAAAGGCACTTGGAACTTTTCAGCGAGCGATCACAGCGCAGCAGGGTTTTCCACTGGCAGCCCTCTGGCTCCAGTCTTGCAACCCACAGCTTTCAATTTCTTCTAAACATCCCCTTCCATCTTTCTCTTGAATGATTTCCAGGGGAACCTCATGTTCCTTCCTAAAGGCAGAAGAAAAAGAAAAGCTGTAAGTGCACAGTTTCCATGAAAACCAGACAAAGGCTTTTGATGCTCTCAACTCCGGTATCTCACTGATCCTCCCCCAAATCTGATGAGGTTAACAGTCAATGTCACGGATTGAATTGAATGCACCCAAAATATATGTTGTGACTCCTAAACCCTACACTTGTGACTATAATCCCATTTGGGAATGGGTTTCTTTGTTATGTTAATAAGACCGCATTAACATAGGGTGTCTTAAATAAATTGTTTTGACATATTAAAATATCATATTGAGCAAGCAATGAAGCAAACCAAGCAAGGTGAGTTGGGGGAAGACAGATGCCATGCTACATGATCATCAAGGAGGAGAAGCTAAAACAGACAAGGACCTTCTCTCAGAGACAACAGAGAGAAAGCCTTCCCCTAGAAAGCTGACAAGGTACTCTGGAGGCATAATGGGTTACTAGATGGGCTGCTAACCACAAGGTCAGCAGTTCGAATCTACTAGCTGCTCTGAAGGAGAAAAATAAGACTTTCTGCTCCCATAAAGATTTACAGCCTTAGAAACCTGACTCCACGGCACATAACCACCACCACCAAAGAGCTGGCAGACTGATTTTGGAGTCCTGGTGTGGCACTGTAAGATAAACACTCCGCTGTAAGGTCATTGGAACCACAAGGTCGGTTATTCAAAACCACCAGCTGCTGCACTGGAGAAAGACAAGACAGTCTGTTCTCATAAACATTTAGAACTTTCAGAAACTCTGTGGAGCAGGTTTCTCTGCCGAATATGAATCACAGTCAAGTTGATGGTAGTGGGTTTGCTTTCATTTTGTTTTAATATTCAAACACTGGTGATATTTGACCCATCTTTCTTGTTGGTTTATTAAGTTCCCTTTACTCAGAGCTTCCTTCTATGTATTCCCCCAAATCCATTCATGGGTCAATCACTAGCAAAATAAGACAACACCTGTGACCAGATTCCTTTTGCTACCTGAAGAGAGCCCCAGTGACACTGTGTATTAAGCACTGGATTGCTAACCAAAGGTCAGCAGTTCAAATCCACCACAGGAAAAAGATGGGGCTATCTGCTTCCTAAAAGATTTAGAGTCTCAGAAACTCTACGGAACAGTTTTACTCTATCTATACAGGATCACTATGAGCAGAAAGCAACTCAATGCCAGTGACTTTTTTGTGGTTTTTTCCTATCTGGAAAGGGCTCTGCCATTCTGTCACTCATATATGGTTTGGCAACGGTCACCTTTATGTTATCTAGGCATAAAAAAAAAAAAAAAAAAAGAATAAATAAAAATACACCTGAGACATCCTGGTTCCTTCTCACAAACTATGCCAGCCTATCTCAGAACTGGCAGTCATTCCGCTGAATGTCTCTTCTCTTTGTTCCCCAGGTCTCTGCCTTCTCACTTCTGCTCTATGGATGTCTCTCTTCTTAAGAGGTTTTCCTTGAAATGCCGCCATACACATGAGTTTTCTTTTCCAACACCCCCTCTTCACATATCATTTAGCATACACATATCCATGTGGAAACACGTTACACTCTCTGCCCAATCATACTCCTAAGTACTGTAGAATATCATCAACACAAAAACAATGCATCTCTCCTTCTTAAACTCTAGAAAAGAAAGGAATCTTCTCTTCTTCAAAAGAATATCTTACCAAAGACAGACTGTGTGAGAAGAGGCTTAAGAAAACTGAGAACCATAAAAGGGCATTTCCAAAATAAAAGCATGAGCTAGGAGTTGGGAAGATAAAGAAGGATTGGTAAAGACTTCAAATCAACAAACAAACCAGACAATAGTTCTCAAATGCTTAATTGCTGAGAAGAAAACAGTAACAACCAAAGACCCCCTCACATCCCAAGCAAATGAAATTTGCTGTTTTGTTATTTTGATAATGATGTTCCCATCAATTCACACAGTCCTCAGCAATACCTTGTCTTACTTGACTCTTGGTACCACTAATTCTTGGAAAAAGTATTTGAAGTAGTACAGTTAGAATGCTCCTTAGAAACCAGGAGAGTGAGGCATCATCTCCTGTACTTTGGACATGTTATCAGGAGAAACCAATCCCTAGAAAAGGACATCATGTTTGGTAAAGCAGAGAGTCAGTGAAAAAGAAGAAGACTCTCAACCAAATGGATTGGCACAGTAGCTGCAACAATGGGCTCAAAGAGCAATGCTTGTGAGGATGGTACAGGACTAGGCAGTGTTCTGTTCTGTTGTATCTCGGGTTGCTATGAGTCTGATGCGACTTGATAGCACCTAATAACAACATGCATGTGAAAGATGGACAATGAATACAGAAAACTGTAGAAGAATTGATGCACTTTGAGTTATGGTGTTGGAGAAGAATACTAAAAGTACTGTGGACTGCCAGAAGAACAACAAAATCTGTGTTGGAAGAAGGACAATCAGAGTGCTCCTTAGAAGCTGGGATGACCAGACGTTTGTCTCTCATACTTCAGACATGTTATCAGGAGGCTCAAGTTCCTGGAAAAGGACTTCATGCTTGGTAAAGTGAAGAGTCAGTGAAAGGGAGGAAGACCCCAATGACCTCAAGCATAACAACAATTGTGAGGATGGCCCAGAACCGGGCAGTGTTTTGTTCTGTTGTGCATAGGATCACTATGAATCAGAACTGACTTCACGGCACCTAGCAATAACAACAACAACAACAACAACAAACAACAGCACTAATGTCGCTGTTTCCCCACATCCTAAAATGGACACCATATGGAAAAGTTTTACCAACAAGTTTCCTTGGCAACTCTCAGGGGAGCAAGTGAATTAAATAGACAAATCATAGCAAATCCACTTTATTGCAATTAATATTCACAGATGTTTACACAAATATTGGAACCTTGTTTGCAGTGTAGGAAATTCTCTTCTAGAGATAGTTAGATAACAGACTTTAAGGTATCAATTTCCTGGAATGGATAGTGCTTATCTAAAACTTTAATCAATTTAAAAATCACTCTTTCATATGACCCCCACCTAAGGAGAAATCACCTCTGGAGGATTAGTTTTCAAACAAGTACTTTATGTGCTGTTCAGGCCCAACATTTATTAAACTCTATGAGGGGCTAATTCCTTGACATACAAATCTTTCTGATTCTCACCAACACTTTGTATGGGGAAAATTTAATGAAAATTTCATATAAAAGGATTGCAGCTTAACTAGAGTTGCCTAAATTGACAAAACTTAGGCTACATTTTGAAACCAGACCTCTCTGACACTAAAATATATATGACTTTTTCATACTAAAGCTGTTTTGAAATCACACGACCATCCTTACATTTTCAAAGCTCCTTCACATGTATATTTCAAAGCTTTTTACAACAGTTGTATAAAGGAAGTTAGAACAGGTGGCATTATTATTTGCATTTTACAGATCATAAAACAGAAGCTCAGACCTATTAACGCTTAGTCCATTCGTGTTAATCATTCGGACATGCTCAGACACGAGGATGTCTTTTCTAGTCTAACTTTCTGGTTTGGAACTTCATTCTAGATGTTTAAAGGCAAGGACAATCCAGGATGGATAATAACAGATTTGTCATGTCACTGAATGACTGAACAAAGAGGCACCAGCCTGAGGCTTTATACAAGCATCAGATCGGTACCTAAGTTTTGAAATGAAAGAACAGTAAATTCATCTGGCCTTACTTTCCAATAAAGTACCCCATCAAGACCCCTGCTCATGCTCTGTTCTGTGGCTTATTAAATGGTGAGCACAGTGCTTCTCAAACTTTGACTCAGGGCTCTTGTTACAATACAGCTTATGATCTAGCTGCTCTGACCTTGGGGTCTGAAGTTTCCCAGGTGATGCTGAATCTTCTGGTCCATGGTTAACACTTTGAGTAACAAGTCTTAATCTAATGAAAGGAGCTTGTTATGGAAATGCAGGCTGCTGGGCCTCACTCTAGACCTACTGGATCTGAATCTGCATTTTCACAAAATCTCCAGCATTGTGAAGGCTTTGAGAAACACTGGGTTGGAGAACTGACTGACTGTAAAATGAGGAATAAACTTCTCCTGGCTGTTTGGTCAACCGCTTGCTTCAGAAACAGTCTTCAGTTGAGTGTGTGTGTCTGTGTGTGTGTGTGTCTGTGTGTGTCTGTGTGTGTGTGCTTGAGAAAAAGAATGAGGAGAGACTCAGGATTTGGAATGCAACTGCTTTAACACACAGTGACAGTGACTCAGTCATTTGCTTTGTATTGATGTGAGAGCACAGCCTCAGCATTTAGGACGTGCCCAGTGAACACGCTTCCATAAATGCCAGCTGGCGCATGGCTACTGCTATTGCCCCCTCAGCAGGACAGCTTCTCTAGCTGAATACCTGCAGCACTCACAACAACTAGTTTTTCTTCAGCTTTGCCCAACCTCCAGAAAAACAAAAACAAAAAATCAAGTCATAAGTTTTGCCCATTGAAAAATAACTAAGCAAACTGTAGGTTATGGATAGCACCCACTATGAGGCTGTTGTTGATGTTGTTAAGTGCCTCAGAGTTGGTTCCGTCCCATAACCCTGTATAGAGTTTCTGAGGAGTGGCTGGTGAGCTTGAACCACCAACTTTGCGGTTAAAACCAACCTTGCAGTCCAGTACATTAACCTGCAGCACCACACCAGGACTATAACGCTGGCTGTCAATACATTTCTGAAGCCAATCACTCATTCAATTAATCAACATTTACGAAAGGTCTGCTGGAGTCCTGGTGTGGTGATATAGGATAAGTACTGAACTGTTAACTACCAGGGCCAGGGGATCAACTCCTCCAGCTG